GTTGACGTAACGGGTGTACATTTCCTGTTTTGCCAGTGCAGTCCATACTACCTTGTACTCGACAGTCTCGAACACTTTCTCGTAGCCAGTCTAAGCGAGGCACAGAGGGAGCGGCTATTCTGTTGTGCACTCGAGGATTTGATTCAAGATAAAGGCTTTATCCCCTGTGCTGTAACTCACTCGGAATCAGGCCTGTTCTCTGGATTACTGTTTGTCTAGACTTATCCAATAACCTATGCACTAATGCAAGAAGGAAAATCCAGGCAATACAGTTTTTCCTTGCCCCTATCCGAAGAGCCGGGATTCGTGTAGAAATATGAATCGAAATGAAGATGGCAAAGTAGGGGACGATTGTGCTTAACTGAGACGCTTTGCACGGTTTATTCACCCGTGCAGATGTACGCTTGGCCAAAAATAGAAACGATGAGGCATAGCGACGTTCGCAGATACGCGACGAATGGAGTGACGTAACTTCTTAACTCTAACAACCTTGGCAAATGGCATTGATTTGCAAATTCCATGAATTGTTTACAATTCTGTTTGACGCAGTTTCAATGTGCAGTTGCTTGAGAAACACACAATGGCTATAATCCACCTGGAATACACGCATTCTTCAATGTAGAGAAGATGAGGAGTATAGAGGAATCAAAGAGACTTGAGAGAATAAGCAAACTGTGCTAAAATTCTGCAGATGTCATGGTATACAACGATGGAAACGATTAAGCGAAAAAAGTACAGTATGCTTCATCACGGAGTTCTGCACATTCCAAAGTTTCCATTGATCTATACCTTCCGCATTTGCAATTCATTCCAGGAATTGGCTCATTTCTGACCGACTGAGATAGGTATACTTCATACTGATGTCAACTCCCTTGAAAGCTTCCTCTTAGAATAAGGTAGGTGCAAAAACACATTCCGTACCAACAGATTTAGTGCTGTTCTGGGTTGCGCATGTATCTCATCATGAGAGGGTTAGTCACAGTTTGACCTGAGTGCATTCGCGTTAGCCGGTTGAGTTCATCCCTCCCACTAGCGTGGTCAGAGAATCATTTGTCTGTTTCGGATTGGTCAGCAGCATATCTAAAATTATCAGGGCAACGTTTAAGTTACCAAAAATTGGTAACGTGGCTAATCCCGGTACAATTAAAGTCGAGCCCTTTAAAACGATCGATCAAGTACATATCGTGTTTAATCTGGAAACGACTTAACGTGTGAATGTGTCTGGAGTTGTCTGATTCCAAGATGTCAGATTTAGTTATTTCCATGATGTTATGGCTCCATCGTAATTTCGGTTTT